CCTTGAGTACTCCCCGCCCATTTTGCGATAGTGTCTGAGATAGCCTGGCGACTCCTTACTAACCTTATTCCCCTTTTTCCATCTTTAAGCTGCTCCGGAAGCGAATTATGAACATTTTTGTGCGGAACCCCAAACTTTCGGCGAGTGTCCCGCCCACTGTGGGCGGGGCTTCCCATAGGTTGAGTGTGCTTTTTATTTTTGTCCCATGCCCTACCCATCCCCACCTTGACCCAACCTCTCCAGGTCGTTCTTCAGGTCGAACCGAATTTCCGGGCAGACAAACAAACTTATTAGGTTGTCCGGAAAGTTCTGCACGTTTTGTGTTACTATTTTTTTGAACATTCATTGCTGATTAAGAACTCATTCTCCTTGCGTCTCAATAGTACGTCCTGAAGAGAATTCTTTGCGCTATCTGATGGTGTAGCTGCCGTTTCAGCACTGCTTGATTAACCCCCTTTTTTAAGATTTTTTCCAAGCATGTGAAAAGGGCATTCGGACGATTTTTTTCTTCGACTATAAATTGGGGCAATCCGCAATCGAAACAGCTCAACAAATTAACCAGGTGTGGGGGCCCAATAGTGCTAGAGAAAGCACTGTGCGGCAATGGTTCAACAAATTTCGTTCTGGAGATTCCAGCCTTGAAGATGAACCTCATAGCGGTCGATCTAAAGCAATATCTGACGAGGTTTTTAGGGGGATTTCGGAGGCTGACCCATCCCAAACAGTTCGAGAGATAGCAGAAGAGCTATGCCTTGGCAAATCCACTGTTGCTGATGGTCTGGAACGCATTGGGAAGGTGAAAAAACTCGACAATTGGGTGCCCCACAATCGGAGTGACCGGCAGGAATCGGCACGTCTCGAGGTTCCTTCTTCACTGCTTTTGCGCAAAAGAATTGACCCGTTTTTGAACGGATTTGTTACCTGTGATGAAAAATGGATCATGTATGATAACAGGAGACGTTCCGGACAATGGTTGGATTCCGACGAACTACCGTGGTAATTTTCGAAGCCGAACCCTCACGAAAAAAAAATTCTGGTCTCAATGTGGTGGTCATCGGCTGGTGTGATCCACTATAACTTTTTATCACCAGGCCAAACCATCTCAGCAGAACCCTACTGTCAAGGAACCGACGAAAATGTACCGAAAAATTTTGTCAACTGCAGCCAACACTTATGAAAAAGAAAGGGTACCGATTCTTTTGCATGACAACGCCCGCCCACACGTTTTCAAAATCATTACCCTTAAATTGAAAAATTGGGGGTTGAGGTTCTACCTCAATCGCCATATTCTTCACTACCACCTTTTCAAACATTTTCAATACTCCCTTGCTGGAAAATACCTCATCAGTCAGGACCAAGCAAAAAAGCCTTCGTGGATTCCGTGAACTCTCGACCACCCATTTCCTTTGATGGGATTTCTCGACTGCTGTACATTGGCAAAAGTGTGCTGATTCGAATGGTGCTTATTTGGATTAAAACCGAGAAGTTTTAAAAAAGTTATGATCGTTAAAGTGAAACACTCGGAACGTGCAGAACTTTCCGGACAACCTAATACAAACAAACAGAAAAAGCGCTTTATGGGGTGATGAGCCCCTGATCGCGGACGGTGCCTTCAATGAGCGAGGGCTGAGAGGTTAATTAGGTGCTGTTGTACCAGTTATGGCTAACCCTGACTACTCGACGGATAATTGGTACGACCACTCCTAATTAAGAGGTAGCTCACACTTGGCAGCGAGACAGCTTTAATGAGGTGCGAAACTTGTCTCCAGCGCCAGCAGTCCCTGGGCAGCAGCCCTGCCGAACCGTCGGGAAGACTCCTCTATGCGTATGGATTTGATCGCTCATGCGCTTAGGTCAAAAAATGCTTAAATTAGCGCACAAAATTACTTCGTCCACATCAGGTTCCACAAGGTAAGGGATGGGGCTGATCACTAGTTACTCCATGGATTTGGTAATGATTACAATGCTTGCAATGCAACAAAAATTGTCGAACATGTAGTATCACAAAAACGGAGAACATCATCATATCACATGTTACAGGCTTGCACACAAAACATATAAAGAAACAGATACCAATTGCAATAAAAAGAACGTAATATACTGTTTAGCATGCAACGGATGTTGGGATGACTACAAGGAAACTGAAAGAAAGAAACGGAGATTTTATAACCAACGCTAAGACACAAAAGATACATACGCAATAAGGGCTTTTCTGTACAAGTGCTAGACTCTCAGACGGCAAATGATGAAACTACTCTTCTAGAAAGAGAGTGTTTTGGATTAAACTGCTTATGACACCATATCCTTTCGGGATGAATGATAACATTAAAGGTTATGGAAATATCAAGTGTGGACAATCCTCTCCTACACAAGAGTAATCTCCCGTTCTTTTCGTTGAGGATTACGAAGCGAAGAAGTAATAGAGGAAGAAGAACTAACAGAAACAAGAAAGGAATCACCTATAATAGGATTATAGGAGAAGTTACTAGCAGTACAGAAACACTCAAGCCTATACAATACTTCAGACTACTTAAAAGCCTTCGTAAGGGAGAAATCAACAAGATTATCAAACTCTCTATGCCTGTGGATTTTCTACAGACTGTCAATAACAAAGCGAAGTATTTGATATTTTGCTTGTTGGCTTACTTTCACCATGGTTCAACCATAAGAGGAAAACCCAGAAAGAACTTTCATAACATTGAAGTCAGCTTCAGAAGCAGGATATTCAATGATGAAATTTCAATTCACGTACTGTCAAGGAAATATTGCTTAATGGTAGTGATTGTGACTTTACACCCACTGGAATCATTTATTACAACATAACACAGTGGCTAATAAAACATGCAATTATAACAAAGTATTAAAGAATCTCGACAACGAAAAACTGAAGCGGATAATCACTAGTGACTGTATCTGTAATTCAGACGATGTGCAGAAATATATAAACAGCAAGCATGGACACATTATTACAGGCAATATGAATCTGTTGAAGGAAAGAGAACTCAGGAGACTCATGATGAAAGGAACGAAATATAGAATAACATAGGAATTACAAGGCAAGAAGTTAAAACCATTTATGAGGATATGTCACGATGTTGCTTTTTACTGTAAAATTAGTTATGTTCTCCGTTTTTTTCTTCCTTTATCACTCTAAGTTCCTAGGGACGTAAGCCGAATCAATCGATATGCGACTCGGACGCTCGGCGAATCGACGTCTTGTTTCCCGCCAAGTGTGACGTCATCATTTAAACGGACCGATGGCGAGCACTTCCGGCTCCGCTCCTTCGAGCCGTATATAAGGGTCGGCTATTGCAAAGAAGAGTCAGTCCAACCCTAGCGTGAGCCAGGAGGTAGTGCCATCGGACACTACGGTTCGAATAAACACTTACATCAATCAGTTGTCAGTTCGCCTCCACGGTTCGGAGCACCACCCGTGACTTGGGGGCCGAAACAAACCGAATCGAAGTCGATTAGGGTATCCGCCTCCTAGGCCGCCAAGACCGGCTAAGGCCCTGTTTACAGTCAGGAAGTACACTGCCGCTGATAGGCAGTGTACTTCCTGACTGTAAACAGGGACCCGTCACGTGGTAATCCGTGTCGGAGCCTGTCATTGTTGATCGGGGAGTGTACACTGACTGTAAGCGGAAGGATTCGCGGTACCGTTCGAAGCGTGTCTATATGCATTCGAGTAGCGAACATCAACTATTGCAGATAGAATGATGGCAGAGGAATCAGGACTAAGTCCAGCTGACTTGGAGCAAATGCTCCTGAGCGACGTGACCACAGCAGAGCAGCTGTCGGCAATGAGAAAATGGCTGGATAGCCTGTTGAAAAAGATTGATAGCCGAACGCTAGTGGCACACAGGTGCGCGTTTCAATAGAGGCTGTCGCAAAGACACTAAAGGTCCGCGTGAGATTCCGACTGAATTAGTGCAAGGAGTTTCGACGAGGTCGACTAAACAGCTCGAGGAGGCAGCAAGCTCAAAGATAGATGAGGAGTGTATTCTCGCTGAGCGGGAGCTGGAAAAAAGGAGCTGGAAATTGAAAGTCGAGCATTTAAAGCCGTGGTGTCTGAAACGCTCTGGTGGTTTTGAGCGCTAAGGCGTGGGAAACTCACGTAGCACTTTCACCGAGAAAGCTAGATAAGCCTGAAAAAGAAAAGGCTGGTACCGTGAAGCATTCTAATGCTCTTTACAGGAGCCTCGTCAGCCTGCTACAGCAGAATGCAACACAAGTGCGCCGCCGACGAGGTACGAACAACCGAACATCGGTGATTTAGACAACGTCGAATACCACCTGGATGTCGATCCAGTGGCGGTGGTGCAAGGTAAGACCCTTCGGTAAGGCCGAAGGCCCGCAAGTCTCAGCGGAAAAACTGAGAGTACCTACCTGCAGCAAGTACGACCGAGTGGAGGCCGAGGACCAGGGATTCGAGCCAATCGTCGTCGATTCCGTGCCGAAGCCGAAGTGAGTCTTTCCACTTCGATAATGCTATGGAGTCCATATTCGCTGCTATGGCCCTACTCGAAGTGGAGGTGTATAGTGACCCTCAAGGAAAAGGATTTGACGAGTTCGTCATGAGGTTCACGATGAAATACCAGAGCCTTGGGTCACGGAATGACCTGCTCACCCAACTGTTACTCTCTAAACTGCAAGGTTACCCGAAAGCGGTAGCGGAAGCCCTACCGAAGCTCGTACGAAAGGGGAACTCCGAAAACTTTGTGGGAGCCCTGCGAAAAGTTCAAAATGGACAAATTCAGCGACGCAGATGAAGGCGTATTTGGATCTGAAACACCTTAAAAACGTGGAGGCGTGACAGAATTCTGCCGGGAACTAGAAAGACTGTCAAGAGAGGCTTATCCAGATGCATCGGAAGAAGAACTGTCCCGCACAAGGGCAGGTGAAGTGGCGAGCCAGTTAACCAACTGGCCCGAATACCTCACTTTTTTCACGACAATGGAGATAGCTGCAAAGGAGCAGGCGTATGATATGGTGAAGCCATGGCACAAAGATGTGAAAGAAGTAAGCAAGTAGCGGCTGCAATGCGTAATGCCATGGAAGATCATGCTCGAAAGAGCCAGGACGGTAGGATACGCAAAGGTGATCGCAGTCACGATGCTCGGCAAGTCCAAAACACTGTGAATACACTGGGAGGTGCAAGCATTAAGCTTGATGTCCGCGATGCGACGGCTCAGCGGAGACCCGTCGGGAAGTGTTTAAATTGCAACCGGCAAAGACATCTGAGAAAGGATTGTACGATGCCAAAGAAGAACGCTACTGCCATTGAAGAGCTTACTAAATCGGCTCAGCAAGCAGAGCTGGCGAGAATTTTTACTTCGTCCTTGAGGAAATGGATATGTGGAGCAGTAGAGGTCGACAACAAGTGCGAATTGGTCAGAGAACAGAAGACAACGGAAGTTCATCTTCTGGGCACTCCATGCGGGGCGTTGTTGGACACTGGCTCGAAAATCAGCATTATGCCACTGCAAGTACTCCAGATAGCATTAGAGTCCGGCTTTGACTTGGATGCCGATGTCGAATAAATTCCGTTGGATCACTAAAAGCACGTATTCGATGCTTCGGGCAACAGAATGTCCTTCAAAGGAGCGATCAGACTGACGCTGCAGATGAGCGACGGTAAGAAGCAGCAGATTGCCGCCTTCGTCATGGCTGGAGGAGACGGAATGTTGGTGCTTGGGACAAATGCACTGCGACCACTGGGACATGACCTCACCCAGCGAAACTGCTCAGAACCTGTGACGCTACCTCGGATCACGGGGAAAGAAAGCATGTCGGAAGAGTCAACCACCCTGTTCTCTCTCAGCTACTGCTGCGAAAAGGATGTACATACCTCCAGGACAGTCAAGATCGGTACCTATTCAATGCAAAGGCCTCAGTCAAGGAGGAATGTTCCGGTCTCGGGAACACTTACTCCCTGATGGCGTATGAGAAGGCGGAGAGAAGGCAGTTGAGAAGCCGGTAACAAACACTTTTCCAGGAGCAGAGATCTTCCGACTAGGGAAGGAGGTAGAAATCCTCGAACCCGCGGAACTCGTGGAAGTCAAGCCAGTCACGTCCAGGAAAACCATAACACAGAGGGAGAGAGACCCAGAAAAAAAAGCTGTCATCGGTGATTGTGTCTCCAAAAGAGTGGTTTGTTTCAGGACGCTGATAGTGAAGGGCCATTCGCTGGATTCACTGCAGAAATGCAGTGCGCTCTCGATTCCAGATCAGGAATGGTGGGGAGGCGGGCGAGATGCCTTCAGAAGGAATATAGGCTCAAGCCTATTGTCATTACGTAGTGGAAAGGCTACTGGGTGGACCTGGCTTTCTAACAGAGCAGCAGTCCTCGGAAGGGGCGCTGACGTCAGGCTAGGAGGATTGGTCCCGCGGAAGAGATAGGAGATTTAAGTTCGGGGGAAAACGCCACCAATTCGTCGAAGGAGGCGCGGACATAGAGTCGAGACGACTCTTTGTTGTGGCGGGGCATGTCACGATGTTGCTTTTTATGTGAAATTGGTCAGTTCTTCCGTTCGTTCTTTATTCTTCCTTTATCACTCTAAGTTCCTAGGGACGTGAGCCGAATCAATCGATATGCGACACGGACGCTCATCGAATCGACGCCTTGTTTCCTGCCAAGTGTGACGTCACCATTCAAACGGACCGCGAGCACTTCCGGCTCCGCCTCTTCGAGCCCCGTAGTTATGTTTCATGAAAGATATGGGAATAAGCTAAGACGATTCTAATGGCATATTGGTATATGGGGATAGCAATCATATGAATTTGTCGGGTAACAGATATCCATTGATACTGAAACACCAATTCTTCTGCGTAAGGAATTACCTCAATATAGAAATTGATGCAGATCTACCAACTATATATGCACTGCATAAATTGCATAAAGATCCAATCAAGTTCAGATATATACGGGCGCACATAGCAGTAGCATAAAACCACTAGCCAAAGAACTAAATGTTATTTTCTAACATTTTGAAAACCATTTCATGAACTATGCAGAAGTAATGCAAAACCGAAACCGAACGATTAGGACTTAGTCGATAAACAACATCAGTATAAGTCAGGAGCTGAATATATTACCAATATTGCCTACGGCAATGTAAAAATATATTCTGCCGATTTCACAGACATGTTTACTAACTTGGAACATAACCTCGTTATCAGGAATACGCAACAACTTATGAGCATTTGCTTTAAGAACGCTAATAAGGCATTTATTGCTAGTGACGGTTACTATGTTTTTAACACAGACGGTCAAACAATTAAAAGCAGCTACAGATACTACAGAGCTACCGACTTAATATACATATCTAATCGATCACCCATTACGTAACAGTTTCTGTATTTTTGCTGGTAATATATTCAGACAGACCAAAGGTGTTCCACAAGGAGGCAACTTTAGCCCGCTGTTGGCAGATCTTACGCTGTTAGTCATGGAATATAATTATGCAAAGTGTAGACTTCACATTGCTGAACCTAACTGTTCATTCCATCCTACTATAATATAATCCGCTACAGTATTGTCTCGTAAGTTGTGTGTGTGTTGTTTTGTTGTGTTTGTGTGTGCGTCTCTCTGTCTGTCACGAAATTCATAGCGAACGTCGCAGAAAAGATAGGACGACAGTTCCAAGAAGTGATAAGAAGTTATATACGTGCAGACTGGGAACATTATTGATGGGTGACAGGGAATGATAGCAGCTGATAAGATTCGATAAGGGGCCTTAGAATGGGAGGGTGACCGAACCCATAGTGTGGGACACAGTAACAGTGGGACATTGGTTCCAAGGTATGATATAGGACGTGAGACAGGAAAATTATTGATGGGTGACAGGGAATGATAGCAGCTGATAAGATTCGATAAGGGGCCTTAAAAGGGGAGGGTGACCGAGCCCATAGTGCGGGACACAGTAACAGTGGGACATTGGTTCCAAGGTATGATATAGGACGTGAGACAGGAAAATTATTGATGGGTGACAGGGAATGATAGCAGCTGATAGGATGATAAGGGGAGTTAGAATGGTAAGGTCACCATACTTATAAAGCGGAACACAGCATCAGCTAGGCTTTCATTTCAGAAAATGATATAGAGTTGGAGATGGGGACACGGCACGTGAGGTGATAACAGCTGATAGGAGCTGATAAGGAACGTGCCAATGCTGTTCGGTCAAATTGCTGGAGCCTTTACACTACCAAATTATAGAGTTTCAGTGATAGGGACATTGATAACGGGTGACAGGATCTTATCAATCGATAAGAAACGATAAGGGGTCATTATCATTACCTCTCTTACACTATACCCCTAAGTATCAAAGGCTCAGTGTGCATACTTTTCCTTCAGCCATCACTTCCCTGATAGCCTTAGAAAATGAACTCATCCTACCATATAATGCCGATGTCGACGAGCGGGGGGGGGGGTATGTAGTTCGCCTGAAACGGGAATCTCAGGGAAATTTGTGGAGAACCGAAAAACACTTCAACAAAACAAGCGGATCGCATGCTAAATGAAAGCAAAGCGTTCGTCGGTAGGTATTCCGGTGCAAGTAATGGAAACGAAATCTGCTATTTCACTAGGCATTCATATTGCGCTGTATTGGCCGACTACATATTGTATCTATCTACAGGTTTATGTAATTTAATGGCGTCGTGGCGCGGACTACGCCGCCGCTGTAAATAGAAGCCCGTGCTGTGTTGTGCGGGATCGTAAACCTTACTCTGTCTGTTACGATTCGACTACTATAGCGCCTTATTAGCAGCCCAAAACCGAAAAAATTTCGTTAAAATTATGGACCCGCCTGGCGAAGGCAGGCCAGCTTGGCGAAGCCAGGCCAGCTCGGCGAAGCCGAGCTCAAGAGGAGGACAGCAAGGCGTGAGCCGTGCGATCCGACTGGTATAGATATATGGATGATCTCCTGGTCAAACATAACCAGTGTGAAAGTGAGGTCGATGAGCAACTCACTAAAGTCTATAAAAAAGCCTATAGTTAAAGAAAACTCACACAACTGAGATAGCCTGTAATTATTTAGACTTAACGATCAATAAAGTAAGCGGTAAAATTATTACTGTTCTATATAATAAAACAGATGACTTCAACTTCAAGGTGATTAGATTCCCACACAGTGATTCAAATTTCTCCTCTAACAACAAGGCTTCCGGTATATACACAGAAACCCTTAGGATAGCCAACACTTGCACTTATTTTGACACGTTTATAAGAAGGATGTCGGATATGATTAGAGTGCATCGTAGCAATGGTTACAGTGAGGACTTCACATAGTTAGTATACTTAAATGTATCTATAGAAATAAACTGATTTGTTACAAATACTCTATTACAAATGATTACGGGAGTAAGCAGATTATTGCGAGGTATTTTCAGTGGCATTTTCATCTAATCTGGTGTCTAGCATCTCATTTTCTTCTAACTTCCTGTGTCGTATAGTATATTTCGATCGTTATAAAGTAACATTAAGTTATAACGTCACATTACAGATAGTTGTAGCCACGATTTTACTCACGTATTCCAACTGACTGACTTGATCTTCTCGGTCTTTATCATTTTCTTATAAACTTTCTGCAACTTTTTTTCTTCCTTTCTGATGAGCAGGAAGGAGGAATATGCTTTTGCTAGGCACCGTCTAAGGGCGCGTGCGAAACGGAAGCTGAGCTATCTCTTTGCTTTCGACCCCCTCCAATGATTGGTATTCATTAGATTTTACAACATGATCCATTATTTTCATTTTCAATGATTTTTCTTGTTGCCTGCGAAGCGACCTCATTAATGAGAGGGCTGAGAGGTCATCTTGTTATCCACATGTTTTCATAATAAGTGAGGGATGATCAATAAAATGAGGAACAAGGTTAATGAAATATGAAGGGATATTCTTTCCTTCACAATAATATGCCATTCAAGGGCTCAATCTATTATGTATACTAATAGTTCACGAACCGGTCCCACTTAACTAACCGCTCTCGATACACTATTTAGAAAATTCTTGCAGAAAGTTAGCTAAGAGCTCGCCCGATGCCCTGTTCCCGAGCATGGCACTCACGTCCGACCACGGCGCAAGTTATCGCTGATTTGGTGCGGGAAATTTTTTGCACTGAAACTGTTGTAAACCTCACTCATGAGCTCTTCAGCGCCAAGTGGCCTCGGCAGCAAAAGTAAGTGTTAGAACTTGACTGGGGCCATCGGTTACCCTTGTATACGGATTCTCAGGGAAGAGAGGGTTTTTGGTGATAGTGGACCGGCCACGGGACTGGCAGTGGCACCCAACTCGCATTCCTGTAGGTCACCGCCAAACCACCCTTCGCAAATTTTCTTAAATTCGACATGGCTTCAAATAAAACCATGTTGGTCCTAGGGCAGGTGTACGAGCATCCTGAGCTTTTCTCGGCTCCCATCGCATAAGCTTCCACCAAGGAACTGGCTACCTCCAGGCATGACCCTTGCAACGGAACCTACTTCATTTTAAATAAATAGTTAATAGTAATAGAACATAGTAAATAGAAAGGTCCAGGTATCGAACTTGGATACCGACACCTAGAGGATACTAGTACCGCCGAGGGAATGGCGAGATGGCGAAAATTAGAAAAGAGCTCAGCATCGGCTCGAATCGGATTCTCCTTATCAGGGGAGGTCAACAGGTGCCATGGCCATTCAAGATGAGATGCATATCGATGTGTACGTCTCGGGACGCTGAACTTACATCTGCTTCCAAAATTTGCCGAACGATTCTCTATGAGGAGTTAGGGGGGGGGTCGTTTTAGCATAGCACTCGCCGATCCTCCTTTGCGTAGCTCAAGTTAATTTCGAGTACAGATAGTCTCGAATGGTCGATGGTGTCGTGGATAGGTGAGTTGCTTCATGGATGGGAGGTCATGGGTTCGCTTCCTTAACAGGTCTGAATTTTTGCATTTTTTCCGAACGTCTTCTGCGAGTTTTGAAAATACTTCTTTCTGTTATTTTGTCGCGTTTGTTCTTACTTGCAGCAGGAGAAGGCTTAATTGCCGGCAACTGTGCTTAGCTTGCAAGACTTTTAGGCAGTGTTTACCGTTACTGGCCAAATCACCCGAAATAAGGCCAGTTTTTGACCGACTTTTTTCTTCGTAAGCAGAATTGGCTGAAATGTTGACTACTACAGTCTGAACATGATTATCACCTCCGCTCGGCACGAAACCCCTAGCACCCGTGCCACAGGTGCAAGCGCCAAAATACCCTAAATCACCAAGTTCCCTGAAAACTTGTCAACTGAGGTAGTTTGACCTCCTGGACACAAATATCCCATTAGCCAGGAAATGCCTGGCGCCGGCGCCAAAGTAGTCGAAATCGCCATTTCACTACACTCTTCAACTGAAGCAGTTTGACCTCCTAAACACGAACATCACATCTGTGTGGGGCGTTGAGAATGCTTGGGATAGAGAAAAAAGGGTAATGTGATCGCGCAACTTGCGTCTGCACCCCTCCCCTGAGGTAAGGCCCTCTCTCTGCTAACGCTGAGCCTTAGCAAATGGGAAGGATTTGTATGACAGGCAACCAGGAAGAATGGTGCGTTACTCCGGCAGTTTGCCCAACTGCTAGCACAGAGCCCCGCGATAAAGCGACTGGAGTGTGTACTACACGCGCCGAAGTCGGAACAAGCATGTGATGGGTCGCTTGTGGCGTGTGCATCAGGCGGTTTCAAACTGTACGGATGTGATATTTGCGTTTAGGGCGTCAAACTGCCTCAGTCGAAAAGTTTTCAGGGAACTTGGTGATTGGTATTTTGGCGCTTGCACCTGTGGCACGGGTGCTAGGAAGTTTGTGCCGAACGGATGTGATAATCACGTTCAGATGGGAAGACTTCACTAGCAGGCAACTTTTCAGCCAATTCTGCTCACGAAGAAAAAAGTCGGTCAAAAGCTAGCCTGATTCCGGTTGATATGGACAGTAAACGGTAACCACTGCCTAAAAGTGTTTAAAGCGAAGCACAATTGGCGGCGAATAAGCCTTTTCCTGCTGCAAGTAAGAGCAGGCGTGACAAAATAGCAGATAGAGGATATCAAAACTCGCAGAAGATGTTCGGAAAAAATGCAAAAATCCGAACCTGTCAAGGAAGCGAACCCATGATCTCCCATCCATAAAGCAACTCACATATCCACTACACCATCGACCATTCGAGACTATCTGTACTCGAAATCAACTTGAGCTACGCAAAGGAGGATCGGCGAGTGCTATGCTAGAACGACCCCCCTAGCTAATCACAGAGAATCGTTCGGCAAATTTTGGAAGCAGATTTGAGTTCAGCGTCCCGAGACGTATACGTCGATATGCATCTCGTCTTGAATGGCCATGAGGACCCGTTGACCTTCCCTGGTTAGCAAATTTTCACTCATTCATTTTTTTGGCATTTCCAGGAATGCGTATCAAAAATTGAACCGATTATGTGATTCTTATATGCACCCCTACAACATGCAACAAACTATTTCTGAAAAGCGCCATGACCTGTATGACCTCAATTGTGAGCCCTCTCTCCTTAATGAGGTCAACTCGCAGCTAGGCACCAATTTTCGCACCTCAACAAAGCTGTCTCGCTACCAGGCGCGAGCCACCTTTTAATTAGGTGCTATCTTACCAATTATGGCTAACCCAAGTAGTAAGGGAAGGCTCACTCCGCCCCTCCTGACATGACCTGATTGGTTACGACGATATCAACTACATGTGGAAGTAGGGTGGGATCAAAAAAGGTCAATCGGGCCAATGGTGAATGGGCGCACGGAATGGTCGCCCTCGTCACGCGGTTTTGCGCCTGGGAAGTGGTGCAACCGATTCATTTGTTCACGGGGAAGAGGGACTCCTCAACTCTTCGTGGAATGCCTCTGGCATCGACATCCCGCCATGCATGGCCGACCATTGTTGAATAAACGGACTTTAAATTAAGGGAGTTCCACAAAAATCTGTATCGCAATGCAGAAAACACCTTGTGATATCTTCACTTCAATTCCGTTTGAACGCAACAATCATTAGGCCGCTCTCAAAAACAGTTGCAGTCTAAATTCGACTGGAAAATGTGGACGGTCGCATCAAAATTCTCGAAGAATTTCACACAAATACGAATTTCAGTGCAACGGATGGATAGTGTATGGGTAGCAGAACTTACGCCACTCCCACAGCACTGCTCCACCTAGCATTCAAACGGTCGATGTTGTCTATGATTTGTTGACGGCTTACAGCACGTCGTCCCGCAACCCCACCATCCTGCTGCTCATCGCTCTCCATCGATAAACGTACCTGAAATTGAAATGGAGTCGAATAGGGTTAAGAGTGAATTGACTGGCGTCGTTCGATTTATATATTTAAAACCATGCATTCCTCCTAGTTTTGAGTAGTTAAACATACTCAGTACGCAGTTGGCTCATACAGTCCCTTCAGGAGAGCCATTCAATGAACATTTTCCAAAGGTACGGAAGTCTTCCAGCCAATACCACATCGAATCGATGAGGCGAGCAGGGTACGTCATCGCGTTGTGATCAATTCCTGCTAAATACGACCCCTCCCTCTGAAAAGGGTCTCGATACAAGCCCCCTTGCCCGCTGCTAATCTGGTAGCAGCGGACCAGATCAGAAGTGGACAAACAACTACCGAAAAATGAAAGATCTGCAACAATAAACGATAAAAAATGACGCGTCGTTAATCAATGTTAAATATGAAAAACACGATGGAAATGAGCCATAATAAACTATGAATAAGTTAAAGGCAGGGCCCGCGTTCATTTGTTGTTTCCACACCCTCTTTGGATATTGTAGCGCACCCTATGATTATGGTGGACGTACTAGTTTCGTCACTCAAAAATGCGAGAGAGTAGCGGCGCTCGCTCATGAGGAGTCGCCCCCCCCCGCCCACCTGGCGACCACTACGCCCAACTTCATTTCTAATGTTTGCCTGATGGTGCGGTTGTTCTGCTACTAACTCTCTCCACATCGAATGGTGAGAGTAAGGTGATAAGGGAAAACAGCTGATACCAACAAGTGAGAACTCGTGCGGCCGTGCCTTCTCTTCGCCTTGAGCACGTACAACCTCAGCTCAGCGTGGGGTCCTATATGGGGCATATCCGATGATTTTCTTGGCATTTTTCTTCAGTAATGAAGTACTTGCTACCTTGTTGTGATTGTCTGAGCTCCATAAGTGTTTAAATTGAACGCGAGCGCTGCCTATAAGAAAACTAAAAAATTATAAATGAGTACAAAAGACACAAGGAAAGAAAGAAAATGCGGGAATATGCGAGTGACAGCACTTGGATATTTGTTGTTCGCGGTCAATCCAATGGTGAGCGCGCTTTACGCAGCCGTACTGGAGCGAGTTATTTCACGACCAGGAGCCAGTTTCAAGCCAATTACTCGAAAAGTACCCCTCACTTGAACACCCACAACTTCTTTGAGAGTAAAGCTTTTGGAGTGAGGAAAGCAGAAATGTGGAGTACTTGGTTGGTACTTATTAAAATTGAGCGATTTCAAAAAATCCCTTTGCAAAAAAATTCTTCGTTACGATCCGGTCATGATTATCGGGAGTCATCTACAGGTCCTTATGCTTTGAACAGCCGTAACAAGTTTCATACAGGGCCATTCGTAAAAAGGAAAACGTTGCCGGAATTCCGAAGGTTTCTACTTTTCAGAGAGACTTTCAATTTATCCCTAAGCCTGCTCTTCGTAAAAAACCCCACTGTGATCACGAAGAAACCCCTGCCGTACGACACGAAAAACCCTATGCTTCTAAAACACATGCTTTCGCCAAAGATATCGGGGTTCATTGGGCGCCAACTGGCATCACCTCTGTAGTGCGCCGTGCATAGGGCTTTCACGCAGAGGGATTGGGGAGGTGCAACTTCTAGGCAGGGCTTCTTAAGTGCAAGCACATGTGCTGCTGGTCCAGAAAGGTCCGGAGGTTTACTTTCATCTGTTTATTAATCGTCACGTTGTGGGTCCCTTGGTTTCTTCATTAATTCATGACATCGTTGTGTGCGGTCATCGTGTTTCTTGTCATCGCCCCTTCCCCACTCCTGCGCTGGCAGGTTGCTTTTGTCTTGTGTATGTGTGTTTCTTACGGGGTTCTCAACATGAATAAGTCTTTCATCAACGAAGCTCAACGACATCTGGCTATCGCTGCACCCTCGCTTCAGAAAGCGCCCTGCGCTTACGACCCCCCCCCCTCTCCCTCGAGCTCACATACGACCCCCCCCTGTTGGGATCATCACAACGATGGCGTGCCCTGGCGGTGAGTCAGGGGATGTGAGCGAACACAGCGGACTTGTACAAATAGGTGAATGTTACGAACAGCTGGCGGTTCACGCCGACACACTGTGATGAGGTCGCCGCTCGCCTCAAGTCCACTCCTATTATCGCTCACTGTCACTTCCTAGTGATATGGACCGTAGTTGACTAGAACAAGAGTAGCTGTGGGACCCAAATAAAGTGAATCCCTGAATCAGACAGAATAGGAGCACACTGACTTGTTGCATGTATTTATCAGTGGATTCGATACAAGTCTGCAAATTGTTGGCGATAGCGACCTGAAGAAAGCCCTTTCACTGACATATGGCACGGTAACTAGAGAGAGAATACTAGAGAACCCACCATAGTCGATGTGAATTCACGGAAGGTACTTCTTTTCTCGAAATATTTATTTCGATAAACAGTAAATGCATCTGCAAAACAATACTTTGCATGAAACCTTGAACTGAAGTAAATGGAAGTATCACCTTTATACTTGTTCGCAAAAATGAAGAATTCCTCAATCGTTAGGTTGATGATGCTCGGGATCACTTCCACACTAACTTCTTTCGCAAGAGTTACCTGAGGAAGAAACAGAAGCTAATGCAGTGCAGCCGTCAGGGAACCGCAATCACAAGTTGTTAGACCGTCGTGGGCACATTACAGCGTATTTCGATGCCCATATCAATACATTTTAGAAGGAAGGATGTGGGTCTAAATGGCCGTTTGAAATGGAATACATACCTGTCCTTGCGAGCCGGTCTCCGATAACTACTGCGGGCCCCATTGAACGGCGTTAGGGACCTATTCAGGGAGGGCATATTCATATTCCAAACAAATTCCCAACGTATAGAAGCTCCGAATGCGAAAGAAATTCATCAAATTACAACCAAATTGCACAAAAGAGACCATCCACATAACTGTTGAGCAACGTTACGCATTCGAAGCTGTCCTACGCTCGAAAGACGTATTCCAGTATTACTGACTAACCATCCCTATCTGGTTAGCCTTGCAGTGCTCATTACTGGACATAACCTCTTGCACGACTTAGCTTCCAAAAAAATGGTCGCATGTGTTTGCGATGCTAACGTAATCTCGATAACCTGTAATCCGAAATTGGGAGGAGGTTATTCTTCACTGATTAAGAATATAACGTTTATCCTAGGCACCATAAAGGTTGTTGTAGAAGATGCCCTTTGCGAACGTCGCATTCCACTTTTGCCAGAGCCTACCTAACAAGCGAATCCCAAGTCGATACAGTCATTCGCAATGAGGTGGGCATCGTTGTACGCATCTTGGACACTAGATTCGAATCTGCTCTCCGTATCTGACCCAAGTTATAGAAGCTTTTATCCGTGCTATTTCTATACAGTGGCCTTAACACAAGGGGCAGACCACCAAAGCATATTTGTGCTCAAGGAGACAAATTAGCCATAAGCAAGACGTCCACCTGAAGAAATTTTGACCGAATTCCAATGAACAGGGGACTATTCTACCTGTGAATGGTCAGGATTGAGTAGGCTCTTAAGTTATAGGGGAAGCTAAAGAAGCATTGTTAAGAAAAGAGATGATCTGAAATTACAAGGCGAGGCCACGAAAAAAATGCAGCAACTGCTGGATCGGATGAATGATTGGAAACCTGAAAAATGCAAAACATTTTTTGCGTGGAGGATCCGATCCACAAAGTCCCACTTGCTGTGCCATCCAGAACCCGTCGCGTTATCCACTGCGCCATCCGACCTGTTGACAGTGGTCCTGAAGGGTTCGCTGACAAAAGCATCACTCTTGCGTCGATGCATGCCAAGTTTGTTACCACATGATATTTACATTTTGACTTTAATCGAATCTATTTTGAGGCCTAATTAGTGAGCACCTCATAAACTATGCATGCTCGAATTTACAAGCAGAAAGAAGCCCATTAACTTGTTAAAACCGCCCATTTCTGTCAAATTCTTTTCATTCAGTTTTTGACCTACCCAGAAACGCATAGCAAAAATGAAACCCATTTCTGTGACCCTTGTATGGAACCCTACAACAAGCAACAAACCATTTCCAGAAAGCGCGGCATGACCTGAAACACCTCCCCTGTTAGCACTTTGCCAAGTCTGTATTTGCGCTTTGGAATACAAGTAAAACGCGATTTCCTGATGCGAATAACGTTTGAGGTGTTGCAAAATAAGAGCCGAAGATGATGACGAGGGCCACAACTCAATAAGAACTGTGCTGCTTCTGCAACATCTCTCGGAGGCCGCGCATTCCCACAAAACATGACAATAAAAACGGCCTAAGCGTTCCACTCGTTAGTATGAAGTACTTCTATGGCTTTGGGGCCGGATCCGCGCCGGATCGTAGGAATTTACACGCGATTTTAATTGATTTGCGTTTCTTTAATTTTTTCATTTTTGTTTTATATACATCTACATCTGTTGTTCTTCATTTCTAGCCCTTGTCATCTTCATCACTTTCTATTCGAACTTTGAAGCATGAGCAACCCCTCAAATGTTATTCGCATCAGGAAATTGTATTGCGTATGTTGCAGAAGCAGCACAAAGCGCAAATACAGGACTTGGCAAAGTGCTAAGAGAACCACACGCGACAGGCGCGCACACAACAGATGTTAGCAACGGGAGTCTGTGCCGCGAAAGGTATTGGGCGGAGCATGGAGGAATTAGCGTGTTTCACGGTCCTGTGTCTCCATTCCTGCGCATGTTAGGACGGGGAAACCGCTACGCTTCGACAGCTGGTGAGGGCTAATAGTCACACACATCCAAACTATGTGTGATCGTACCATGTGTCTCTAATGAGAGGCGACACAAACAGTTATCAGAAGGTAGGGGAGGTCTGGAATTAGAAGCAAAGAAAGCCAAACATTGGGAAAGGAATACAGTCCACAACACAGATGATCCGTTTCGCTCGGTGTCGCAGACGAATCATCCATCATTGTCTAGCCAACCCCCAAGCTCATCAGTGCGACAGGTTGAGGACATGAGGACATAGACTACATAGGGGAAGGTGTTGAGAAATAGGATAAAACGAGAGAGCAGGTTAAAAAAAGGGAGGGGTTCACATGCAAAGTTCATGCAGTCTAGATGATGAATTATACATAATAATGAAAGAGTGATATAACCCGATGTGAGTATTAAGAAAAACGAGTAGGAGGAAAGAAAAATGGGTTCGTTAACAGGCTAAACCCACTGAGAGAATGTTTAGTGTAAAACAAGGTCCAAGCGGAATACAAGAATCAAATCAAATAAAAGTATAGATGAAGGAGGAGAATTAGTGTTGAGCACCGCTGCAAATGAGAATACCTGTGACGAGTCTATTTATCTTTCTATAGTTATTTGCGATTGAGTATTTGTTGCTTATGAATTTACCAGTCGGATCGCCCGGCTAAAGCCGAGCTCTCCTCCTTTTTGGCCCGGCTTCGCCGGGCTCATGCAACTGCTTTAGAGGCTCACTTCTTACCAGGAAAGGTCAACAGATCAGCCCGGCCATTTCCAATGAGCTGCATACCATTGTACGCGTCTTTCAATGATGAACACAGAACTGTCTTCAAAATTTGCAGAACGATTCTCTGAACGGAGTTATGGAGGGTTTATCCCCGCATGGTCGTTTCACGTGCTATCGCGAGGAAACGTTGAACCGTCTTTACATGTAAGTATGGAATCGCACTGAAACGTGGCAGCAGAGCGCAACGGATAGGGCGCGGGTTTCTCAGGCGGGACGTCGTAGGATCGGTTATGGGGCAGGTTACTTTTTTGCATTTGTTCAAGAACATAGCCGAAAGCTTCTATCATCTCTGCTCGCCTGCACTACCCTATAAGGGAACCTGCTATCAGTTTTCTTCGAAAGTGTAGACCCATTGCGGCCTGAAAGAGTGCTTCTGCTTGTACCCCTCGTAACACTTGTCACAAGGATTTTCGTAGTGAAATATCATCATATTCATGTTCAGCGGGTCGAATTACCCCTGGGGACAAGTTTCTGGCCGAATCTGATCTTTCGACCATTCGGAAAATGTGAGCTATTCCATGGGTAATTAGCAGCAGATTGGAGCTCACCTATCATCGATGACTGATCTTGGAATGGGATTTCCTCCCGTTATTGAAGAAAATGGTGCATACGGTACAAATAAGTAACCAGGTACTGTTGTTTGCGAAAAGACATAACTGAAGAGTCATTTCAGTTTGAAGACCAGTCATCACCAGTATGCTAGTCATAGTATCGCTGTTAGCTATCAGTCAGCCATGACTACCCATACCCCAATTTTTTCGAAGTTGAGTCAGAAGCTCAGATTTCGCTAAGGTGACGTCTCTAGGGGTTATTTGACCCCCTTAACACGAAACGATATCTGTTTTGCGCGAAGAGCGCTGTGAGTCGCGCTACATGTGCCAACGCTTCGGCGCCAGCGCGCCCGTAAGAAGAAAAACAGTAAAGAAAAACCTCCATAACTCCGCTCAGAGAATCGTTCTGCAAATTTTGAAGACAGTTGTGTGTTTACCGTGTCAAGATGAGTGCAGTGATG